ATAACAATTAATGTTTCACATCAGGAAAATAAACAAGAAGCCCTAGTAAATGTGTATTTTCGTCATCTCTGTATCTATGTTGGTAATTTCCACAGTTTACTTTCAGGTCCTTGGTAAGTCACATTAAATATTTGTACAAGAACAGTAGGACTATTCTAATAGAAAACTGAACTAGTATCTCATATCAGCGTCTCTAATTTCACCTCTGATGTTACAGTTTTGCAGCTTTTTGTTCACCCACAACCTTAATTGTGACATCATAGTGACATCACTGTCTAGTCCTGGTTAGTAATCTGGTTTCATATTGTTACAATTGTAAATTCTCTTTGCACAATGTGTGCCCTGTTATTCAATTCAATTCAATTCAATTCAATTCAAATATACTTTATTAATCCCAGAGGGAAATTAAATTATGTGGATGTGAGCGATATCCAAAATGGCGGCATGAACAACTGCATGAACATGCATATCATCCTAACACACATCCCTCGAAACAAGCTATTAGCATGAAGACACTTCAGCTAAAAGTGATCTCTCAGCTCTTCATCTGTATTCAAGTTTTAAAATAACTGAGAACTTCTAAAAAAAAAAAAACATTATTGAAAGTTGAGCCAAAATAAATACAAGGCTGCTCAACATATTGATCACATAATCCATGATTCCAGTCGAGCCGTATGATTTTAAATTCTGATCACAAATACATTGTATGAGTCAGTGGATGTATATTATAGACATATTCATATTGTAAAGACATATTTTGGCCATATTAAAGTGGTGTTCTGTGTAAAAGTAGTGAACAATTATTATCTTAAATGCTGTAGATAGCTCTCTGAACAGCTTCAGTTTGGAGAAATAAAGTTTACATCTGACCAAACAGATGAGCAAACAGCTGGGTTGAATGAAGACCAGACCAAAATGATTTGGGGCTGTCAAAATTTTAAATCTCTAAAATTTCATAGCGATTTATACAAACTATATATATATATATATATATATATATGCATACCGTGAGAACCGATCAACAGAGGATGCCATCTCCTCTGTGGTCCACACTGCGCTCAACCACCTGGAACAGAAAAACTCTTACGTCCGTATGCTCTTTGTGGACTTCACATCTGCCTTCAACACCATGATCCCCCAAACCCTGATGGACAAACTATCCACACTAGGACTAAGCCCCTCCATTTGCAACTGGGTACTAGACTTTTTAACAAACAGACCACAGTTAGTGAGGATCCACAACCTCTCCTCCTCCACCATAACCCTCAGCACTGGCTCTCCTCAGGGATGTGTGTTGAGCCCCCTCCTGTTTACTCTGCTCACTGCTCTGATTGTGCAGCTACCCATCCAGGCTGTCACATTGTAAAGTTTGCAGATGATACAGCGGTGGTGGGATGCATCACAAACAATGATGAGTCCAGCTACAGGCAAGAGGTGGAAAACCTGGAGAGCTGGTGCAGAGAGAATAACCTTCACATCAATGTGAAGAAGACAAAGGAGATGATTGTGGACTTCAGAAGGAACAAAAACACCTACACCCCCCTGAACATAAGAGGATCTGTGGCGGAAGTGGTCTCCAGCTACAAGTACTTGGGTGTACACATGAATGACAACCTCAGCTGGAGCAACAACACCACCAGCCTGATCAAGAAAGCTCATCAGAGACTCTACTTCCTCAGACGGCTGAGACGAGCTGGTCTGGGAAGCTCAGTCCTCACCTCCTTCTACAGGTGTGCAGTGGAGAGCATCCTGTGCTCGAGCATCAATGTGTGGCATGGAGGCTGCACAGCTGCAGAAAGAAAAGCTTTGCAGAGAGTGGTGAAGACTGCACAGAAATCTGTCGGAATCAGCCTCCCCACCATCACAGACATCTACACCTCCAGATGCAGGAAGAGGGCCACCTGCATCATGAAGGACCCCACTCACCCAGCACACACACTTTTTGCCCCACTCCCCTCAGGAAGGAGGTTAAGGAGCATTAAGTGTAGAACCACTAGACTGAGGAACAGCTTCTACCCTGAGGCTGTTAGACTCATGAATCTCTAACTAGAATAATCACTGTGAAAAACCATATCATGTTGCTGCTGATCTGTTTCATGTTGCTGCTGATCTGTTTCAATGTTGATGTGTTCATGCGTGTGCATCTGCTCACAGACTCATGTTCATGTTTGTGCTGATGTTCAATGTTTTATGTTATGAGTGCTAAGTGTATATTTAGTTGATGTTTTTCTTAGTTCATATCTTAGATGTTATTACTGTTTTTCTTATACATTTTATTTTTGGATGTAACTGGGACCTTGTGTACATAATTTCGCTCCACCACATGTACCACATGAGGTGCGAATGACAATAAAGAAACTCTGACTCTGACTCTGATATATATATTTATTTATTTATTTATTTATTTATTTATTTATATATTTTTTACTGCCATCAGTTTCTCAGTATGTTGTTATTTACATGGAGGTCTATTTGCAGGTGCAAGTAGCAGAACATATTTTCCAAAAATGACCGTATTTTCCGCCATACACGTCACACCGCCGTATAAGTCGCATCAGTCCATATTTGTCGAATAAAATGGAAAAATCCACAAATATGTTGCTTCGCCGTACACATCGTATCTATTATGCATCACCGCTGACGCATCATGTTTGTTACGCATCACCACTGACAACCCGGAAATGTGGTAAAAAAAATTGATGGGCTGCCAAATGGTGGATGCAGGAATGTGCACAGGAGGACTTAAACAAGAATTTAACAACATTAACACTTAAAAACAATTATTTGTTTGCTCAAAATTATAGTAAATGTGTGTCTCAGTGTTAAGATAATTTAGTGACCTGTCACAGCATCACTCAGTCAACCTTTTGCTTAATAAACGCACTTTGACGATCAAATCAGCCTGATTTCAAAAGCTGATACGCAGAAGTAAATGTGTGCACGCGACGAGTCGCTGTGCAAATTTAACAAGATAAATGCCTAACAACAATTATTTTTTTGCTCAAAATTGTAGCAAAGGTGTGTCTCAGTTGAACCATTCCTTAATAAATGCACTTTAATGGTCAAATCAGCTGAATTTCAAAACTAGTTTTGCTGCCTCGGTGCTCCCGGGAGCACGCAGAAGGAGGAAAAAAGGCAGGAGGAACGCGGATAATTTTTTAGAAATTTAACAAGAAAAGCACCTAAACAATTATTTGTTTGCTCGAAGTTATAGCAAAGGTGAGTCTCAGTCTAACGTTTGCTTAATAAATGCACTTTAATGATCAAGTTAGCTGCATTTCACCGGGGCGGTGCAGATGTTTTGACGGTTCCAAGCAGCGAACAGAACGTATATGGGGAGTCTATGGCAGGCAGATTGCATCATTAATAGCTGGTGAAGATTCTCAGTCATCCAGGACATAGTAAATTCAAAAATGTAAAACAAAACAACCCAATAAAGTATAAAGTAAAGTATAATAAATAAAGTCCAGTTGTTTTTGAATGGAACTTTTTTGAATTTGTCATTATAGCAAAGTTTATCTATTACATGATACAACAGCATGCCAAACTGCTACTACTACTCTGCTTCCATCAAGTGGCTGAAAGTGTTTTTTTCTCCAGTCAGAATGAATGAAAACGGTCATATCTCAGCTGAAAATTGGTTTATAAATATGGGAAAAAATCCATAAATATGTTGCTTCTGCCTATAAGTTGTACGGCATGTAAATTATGCAAAAAAAACTGTGACTTATGAGGTGGAAAATACAGTATGTAAGTTTTTGTAAATTACTCTGTAACGTGAAAATGATAGAGATGTAAATGTTTATGAAATGATGTTCACATCAAACCACCATCAGTGTTTGAAAATTGAAGCTGTTTTAGGACGACAGCATTAAATTATGGTCTTGACTTCTTTCGAAACTTGCTGCTAGCTGTCAGTTCTGTCACATTAAAGTTTTTTATTCCTGTCTGAGAGCATTCATGACGCTATCTACAACAATAAAAGCATTAATTGTTCAAAATATCTCTACAGAAACCTATTTCAGCATGTGACAGGAATAGCAAGTGGCCATCAGGGCACTAAAGATCAATTGTTAGGCACATGGTCCTTCTTTCGCATGTGAACAACTAGTTTAGGTTTTTAGCTGCAAACTGGTGCATCCAGTATGAGAAGGTGCTGATCAAAAGACTGAGTTGGTTGAAGGGTTTCAAATTGATGAAGTCTTGGATAAAAGACAACATATTTCAACAAAGAAGAATCCGTCCAGAGGACCTGACCCAACCTTGTTAGATATTTCTACCTGGAGCATGCATCAGGACTATTTCAGCACGGCCAAAGTATCCTCTTAAAGATGTCTGGTCTCAGTCATTATATTTGTGGTATATAACATGGACATTTGAAGATTGTGTAAGAAAACAACTTTGCACTTGAGTGATGGACACTGATACCACATTAATGTCTACATGAGTTACCTTAGCTCAAATATTGTGGTAAGTAATTTAAGAAACTTGTCAGTACTGTTAGGTTGATAGGAAAACAAAAAATGCTTACTGTGTCATGTTAAGTAATTACTAGGCCAGAAAAGTATGCAACTGGCCTTACTCAATTCATGACTGATGAAACGTCATCAAATTTAGCATTTAAGGTCTTATTAACACTGACCAAGTCTGTGACTCATGTCAGCGCTGGTTACCAGTTAATGGGCTTCATGAAGGCTGAGATCAACAACTAATAGTTAACTTTCATTATTCTAATAAAAAGACTAAAGTAATCAGTAGTAAATCTTGGTACAGCACAATTCCCAAGATATTTCTTCATACAATCAATAATGACAATTTGCTATGTTGTGTTTGTGCAGTAATCCATTTGAAAAACTCTTCTGTTACACAAAAATATTGCACTCTGCAAATACAAACTTGCAGAATTAAAACAATAAAATTACATAATATATGAGCACTTGTGCTGCAAACTATGAACAATCGAATCCACATGGTCAGGTCCCACTTCTCTGATGTTTCAGTCACCATGCTGATGGTTCAGTCGATGCGTCTCCCCTATCGTTTAACACACAGGAGCGCGACCTTCGACGAAACATGTTGGATCCGGGGCCCTTCCTCCTAGTGAGGCGCATATAAATGTCAGAGTGCAGGAACCTGGGATACGAGTCTTTTTTCATCAGACTGTAGACTTTCATCTGGGCTGCCTCAAAAGAACTTCTTGTTGGGTGTTCCATGTTTTTCTTGACAGTCATCTTGGTGTTGTAGTCAATGTTGACCTGAGTTAAAGGAAAGTAGAACATAATGATAAACCATCCCAAGTGACAATCGAAGACAAAAACAATCAATAGTCCATGTAACTGCTGCCAGAGTCTTAACTGGAGTAGGAGAGATCATATCTCTCCAGTTTTAGATTTTCTCCATTGGCTCCCTGTCAAGTCCAGAATAGAATTCAAAATCTTACTTCTAACCTACAAAGCTCTCAACAACCTAGCTACTTCTTATATTATAGATCTTATTGTTCCATATTTTCCAAACAGACCATTTTGCTGTCAGACTGCAGGTTTACTTGTGGTCCCTAGAGTTTTGAAAAGCAGAATGGGAGGAAGATCTTTCAGTTATCAGGCTCCTCTGTTGTGGAACCAACTTCCAGTTTCTGTCCATGAGGCTGACACATTGTCCAGTTTTAAGACTGGGATTATTATTTTTTTTTACTATTTATTTATCCAGGTAGTCTCATTGAGCCACGAGGACTCATTTTCAAGAGACCTGTTTAGGGAACAGATGGAGGTTAAGGGCCTTGCTCATGGGCCCAGAGTGGGGTGAATGAGAGTGGGGGCAGGTGTGGGTGCTTCACCTACCCCACCCACATTTTTGATGTTGTCGGTACATTTACACCCTCTGTTCTGCGATCTTCCGATCACAGACCCACCTCTCTAACCTCTGCGCCACCACTCCCCACAGACTGGGATTAAGACTTTCTTTTTTATAAATCCTATAGTTAGGGTTGGCTTGGGTTTCCTGACCTACCTACCTACAGGCTTAGACTACTGGAGGACAAATTCATTCAACCTTTATTTATACAGGTTATTCTCAGTGAGCCTTGAGGACTCATTTATAAGAGACCTTTTTTAAACCAAGAGCACAGATGAGGCACAGACAACAATAGACAATCATACAAAAGCAGATAAAATGAAAAGTAAATAGAAGAAATTATATAAATTTAGCAGCACGATGGCTCAGTGATTAGCACTGTTGCCTCACAGCAAGAAGGTCCTGGGTTCAATCCCCAGTTGGACCTGGGGTCTTTCTGGGTGGAGTTTGCACGTTCTCTCCGTGCATGCGTGGGTTTTCTCTGGGTACTCTGGTTTCCTCCCACAGACAAAAACATGCATGTTAGTTCTGCCTTCAGGCCCAGGCCTCCCTTGCAAAAGAGATCTGTGATCTCAATGGGATTTGCCTGGTTAAATAAAGGTTAATAAAGAAATTAATAAATAAATGAAACAAAAGCAGTTACATTATAAAGTGATGTAAAATACTAAGAACAGGAACATGTCTGTTCCTGTTTTGGATCCTTTTGTTTTGGAACCAAATGGAACTAATTTAAATGAATAGTTACAAATGAATTTTAAAAAATGGTTTTTGTTTGTAATTATTTCTATCTTAACATGTTTTTTTTTTTGGTCTTTCCTCCTAGTGAGAGACCTGATCACCTCCATTCTGGACCTACTGTTCTGTGTCCATTTTTCCTTCCTGTTCCTCTCAAACCCAGCCGGTCGAAGCAGACGGCCGCTCATCCTGAACCTGGTTCTGCTGGAGGTTTATTCATGTTATGAGGGAGTTTTTCCTTTCCACTGTTGCCTTTGTACTAGCTCAGGATGGGAGACTGTGACTAAATGAAGACAATACAATCTGCTGGTTACGCTACCTCAGATAAATAATGTTAAAAACTGAATTTTTATATATATGAATGTGTCTGTTCTGTGCCCTGAGGTGACTTCTGTTGTGACTTGGCGCTGTATAAACCAACTGAACTGAACTGAATTAAAATATCTGAAAACAAATGTTAAGGGTGATAATACAGCTACGTCCTAAAATACCAACATCCATCACTTGTTTTCGGTGAAGCTCAACAGTAATTTGAGACTTAATCTAAGATAACAAAATGTAAACTTTTTTATGATAAAACTGTATAAGGGAAGCAAGAACCAGAGGCTCATTAAAGATCACCATAGTAACTTCACTCTTTCAATTCTCACTTCCTGACAGCACTCGTAATAGGGCAGACAGACAGACTGAAAAGTGAACTTTGTGCAGAAGAAGACATGACACAAGCATCTGGTTTGCACACTTGTGATTTTTTGTGTCTACATATATTTGAGATATGTCAAAGTGAAAGACTTTACTTATTTTTTTTAAGAAGAAAATTCTGAGCTCAAATACAATGCGCGTTAACAAGAGTGTGCGTGGGCACCTTCTGTACACTGAGCAGATGTGAAATAAAATAATTATTTACCATATGGCAGCGACAGGACACTGTGTGACAAAAGGACAAACACGTTTACATTTTGTTGCATAAACTGAAGAGAAGTATAAAGTTTGTGGGAATAAAAAAATTGCTAAATAGTGGGAACGTTTAAACAAAAGTTGGTGTGTGACGACCTCACACATTCAAAATTGTACATTTTATTATTTCTCCAAAATTTATTAAAGTTAATCTTCAACTGGGTGAAAACTATAAAATGTATCAAAACACCAGTTCAGTCATGTACAGTCTGATTTTTGGTGACTCGTAAACTTAGAATGATATTTCCACTGAGCTCCAACTTTTCCCACTAAAATCCCATTTTTCTTCACGGGGAAATTTTTACCTGTTTTTTGCAAAAGTATCTGAACTTGGACAATATACTACTAATTGTAAAAATGATTAGAATGAAAACAAAACAAAAAAGGTCATTCGTAAAAAGGGTGCTTCTATGATGATGCATTGTGACCCTTAAAAATAAACTAAAAGGAGCAACGTATCTGACTTTATGACTTTTGTCTCAGAAGAACCCAAAGTTCAGAGTTCAGACGGTCGAACTTGTTCATGATTTTTTATTTTTTATTTTTTTACCTAACCAGATGGTCAGAATGTTTTTTCTCAATCTTTTAAATTTGCTTCAAATAATTGTTTTATAAAACACATTAAAGCATCAAACAGACAACCTTGGATTAATGTCACCAAAAGATGTGAATAAAAACTAAAAGACTTTGTTCCTTCTTATTGGGCACTTTTACAGTATAAAAGAGATTTTCTGAGCTCGTCTGCTTTTGCTGTTTGTATTGAACCATGCAAAGTGTAATTATTTTAAATAGGCAGTGTTAAACTTAATGCACAAAGATCTAGAAAATCCTCTTTGTATGAAATTGTATACGTCTTATCTCTCTTTGTTTGCATTAAATGCCACTCATACATTTGCACGTGCAAATTATCACAGCACAATAACTACAGTGCACAACTTTGCTGTAGTAACACACACACACACACATACTCATGCTTAAACAAGCATTCAGCTTAGACTGAAAGTGTGTGGGAGGTGCTTCCTTTGGTTCTGCAAAAGCTCGGTCAAGCCTCAGTCAAACTCGTCAGCAGCCCAAACTGCATCAGATGGTTGTCACATCCTCCTCACAAAGTGTGTGGAACCGTTTTAAACCACAACCGTCTCACACAGAAATAACTCAGTCGGCTTTGCAGCATGCATGCACATGACCTCAGTGAGCTGTTGCACCTAATGTTTCTTCTTAAAAGGTCAATTCACCACAAGCTCGTGACCGTAGAGAGCATTAGAACTCGCCTGCAGTTATTTTTACAACGGCAACATAAATATTTCAACTCTCACAGCCCTCACTGCCAAGAAAACGTTAAATGTCATTAAAGCATTTGCAGCTCTACGCTACAGCATAAAATCAATGCAGTTTATGAGACATAAACATGCCACAGCATACCTCTTTGGGGGCCTCTGGTTCAATAAAAACAGTATAAATATATTTGGCTTTGGACAGCAGCTTTGTTTCAGAATCAATGGTCTTGTATTCCTCACAGGCCAACCAGAACTCAATGTTTTCCTCACTGAACTCCATCCTGAGGAACTGAGAGAAGGTTTCCACCCCATCTGAGGAGAAAACAGAAATCAGGATGTTGGTGATTAAAATGACTCATACAGATAATAAGAGAGAATTAGAGCAACATTTGGTTTATTTTGAATCAGGGTTCTGTGGAAGAGTTAGAGAAATGCTGTGTTTTTTTGTTGGTGATAACTTTTCAAAAAATGGACTTTAACTCTGGCAGGACTGACGATCTAACAGCTAGTCTGTATACAGGTTTAAGGGAAATGTACTGCCACCACCATAAAACAGCTCCAATCTATAAACGTCCTGCTCATGAAAATGTTATTTCATAGACCTTCATAGTGCATTGTCTAAATGACATTACATAGACATTTGCATGGATTACTGGGGTTTATTTACAAGCACAAATTGCAGCTATAGCACTAACATTTCAGGTAAAGTCTGGGTCACGTCTTTTAGGGATTTTATAAAGTTTTTGCCCAAATATTGTATCATCCATCCATCATCTTTACCCACTTCTTCCTTTTTGGGTCACAGGGTCACTGGTGTCCATATCTAGCCATCACTGTGTGAAAGGTGGGGGACACCCTGGACAGGTCTCCAGTCCATCACAGGGACACATAGAGACAAACGAGACAAACAACCATTCACTCTCTCACTCACACCTAGAGACAATTTAAAGTTACCAATCAGTCTAACATGCATGTTTCTGATCTGTGGGAGGAAACGGAGTACCTGAAGAAAACCGACACATGCACGGTGAGAACTTGCAAGCTCCACCTAGTGTGCATCGAGTCCACATGGAAAAAGGTCCACGCGAGTATACTGGAGCCTTTAGCCCCCAACTTGATGCGTGTGTGTTGGAGTTTTCCCCAGTAGATGAGAGGGTAGTTTCCCTGCGCCTTTGGGTGGGGGGGATGGGTTCTGAAGATTGTTTGTGCTTATATGCCAAACAGCAGTTCAGAGTATCCAGCCTTCTTGGAGTCCTTAGTGGGGGTACTAAAATGTGCTCCAGCTGGGGACTCCTTTATTCTGCTGTGGGACTTCAAAGCCCACAGGGTTAATGACAGTGTGGCTTGGAGGGGCGTGGGAGGAACAGCCTTTATGATATGAACTTGAGCAGTGTTTTTTTTTTTTTAAATTTGACACAAGTGCTAGTCCTAGTTTGTCCATCATGAACACAATATTCAAACATAAGGATGTCCATAAGTGCACTTGGCACCAGGACACCTCAGGTCGTAAACTGATGATTGACTTTGTAGTTGTGTCATCTGATTTGTGGCATTTGTTTTGGACACTCAAGTTAAGAGAGGAGCTGAGTTGTCAACTAATACATATGATATATATGACCCTGTGTGCATAATTTTGTTCCACCACATGTACCACATGTGATGCAAATGACAATTAAGAATATCTGTATCTGTATCTAAAAACCAACCTGTTTGGTTAGACATGGGATAGTTTTCTCCTATATGACAGCTTTTTTCTTTATATTGCATTCGATTGGGATGAAAAGTGATATAAAGAAAAATATTCATCAATTGATTGAAACAAATTGCATAATGTTGCATTTCATTTGCAGTTACATACAGGTGCATCTAAAAAATTAGAATATCGTGAAAAAGTTCAATTATTTGTCAATTATTTCAGAACGATAAACTCATACTACAGTATAGATTCATTACGCACAGAGTGACATTAAAGCCTTCATTTCTTGTAATTTTGATGATCATGGCTTACATATAAAAAAATTAAAAAAATTCAGTGCCTCAGAAAATTAGAATATTGTGAAGTGGTTCATATTGTAAACTCCTGGTGTCACATCCTAATCAGCGGAGTAACTCCTGGACATGAGCTACACATATCTCATTCTTCAAGTCCAGCCACTCGTGAACCAGAGACAACATCAGAAGAGTTGGAGGAGAAAAAGAACTGGACTGTTGCTCAGTGGTTCAACGTCCTCTTTTCAGGTGAAAGTAAATTTTGCATTTCATTTGGAAATCAAGGTCCCAGAGTCTGGAGGAAGAGTGGAGAGGTCCAGAATCCAAGCTGCTTGAAGTCCAGAGTGAAGTTTCCACAGTCAGTGATGGTTTGGGTCCATGTCCTCTGCTGGTGTTGGTCCACTGTGTTTTCTGAAGTCCAGTTAACGCAGCATCTACCAGGACATTTTTAGAGACTTCATGCTTCCTTCTGCTGATGAGCTTTATGAAGATGATGAGTTCATTTTCCAGCAGGACTTGGCTCCTGCCCACACTGACAAAGGTACCAAAACGTGGCTGTGGAATATTCTAATTTTTGGAGACAGTGATTTTTTAATTTTTTTTTATTATTATCTGTAAGCCATAATAATAATAAATCATAAATAATAATAAATAAAGCGCTATGTGTTGTCATCATTGTATGTTTCCATACAAAGACAAAATTGGTTCTCTGCATTTAACCCATCGCACCTGGGATATACCAGGAGGAGCAGTGGGCAGCTATGTAAGCGCCCGGGGAGCAATTCGGGATTAGGTGTCCTGCTCAGAGACACCACAAGATGTGCAATGATCCAGCACAGGACTTTTGGGTCCTGGGTCGGCTGCCCTGCCCCTACACCATCTCATCCCCCAATATTAGGGGCTGAGAGGATCAAATATACAAGAAATCAAGGCTTGAAATATTTCAGTCATGCATAATGAATATAATATAATGTAATATATGAGTTTAACTACCTGAAATGATTGATAAAATGGATTTTACATTTTCACAATATTATTTTTTAATGAACCTGTACATATGCACATATGTTGTCATTATTCCACTTCAGTGTAATTTTAAATGAAATTTAAAGTAAATTTTTGCAGGTTTGACTCCAAGCAGTCACAGCCCATTAAGATACTGGGGTACTGCCACAGTATTATTATTATTATTATGCCAGTACTGCCCAGTAAGATTTAGATTTGATTTGATTTTACAATAAAATTACTTCCACATAGAGCCAAATTTGGTAAAAGTGGCTAAGTTTTATATGTTATAGCAAAACTACAGAATCGAATCAAATGTACTTATTTAGTATATTCAAAACTGTCATTGGCCAAAGTGCTGTACACAAAACTGTTATTAAAAATACAATACAGGACACGAGAGACCATTAAAAATAAGAATACATTATTAAAAACATAAAACCATTAAAATTATACAAAAATGTCAACTCTCCTGCTGTAATAAAAAGCAGTGTGTACAAATGTGTTTCAGAAGGAGACTTAAAAACACCAGTTTTAGTCTATGAAAGGACAGCTGGTTCCACAGTGTAGGAGCTGATTTGAATTGAAAAGACCAGCCAGACCTTGTGGGGAGTGGTTTTGCAGAGGTTAGAGGGGGTGGGCCTGTGATCGGAGGGTCGCTGGTCAACTCTCCGATTTAACTCCCGGCCCCAACAGACAACATCAAAATGTGGGTGGAAAAGGTGAGACACCCACACCTGCCTCCACCATTTGCCCCACTCTGGGCCCATTAGCAAGGTCCTTAACACCCACAGCTGCTCCCTGGGTGCCTTAGATGGCAGCCCACTGCTTCACATGTGCAATGGGAAAAATGCAGAGAATTAATTTCCCCATTGGGGATTAATAGAGTAGAATAATATTAATAATAAAAAAAGAATATCTAAAATCCTAATCACTTTGTGGACCTGCTTGGACCTTGGGACAACCAAAGACCCATTCATTTCTATAGATCAGCCTAGAGGCCCTGCAACAACCAAATTATGCTCCTTTTCCACCACTCCTCCTCAGGCCCAACTGCTCACCTCGCTACGGTAACAGCGCTACTCCACAGTACTTTTTAGCCGATTCGAGGCTGATTCTGACCCTTTTTTTGTCCCTGCTTCTCTGGTGGAACCGTTCGAGCTGAGTCGGCATCTAAACGTGACGTCAGAACACTGTTGGTCACTGATTGGTCAGGGGGAGGAGTCACTGGATCTCAGAAACTTTTCACCGATCCGCCATTTGCAATTTCTCGGAACTCGGAGCAGCAGCTGGATCTATTTTTAAGCTTTTAAAAACGAGAACGACAACACCGTGTTTAATGCTAAAGTCCAGGCGATTTTTTTTTTGTGTTTGGTGACCGATAACAAAATTCAGAGCGAGCGGAGTCACTGCGGAGGATCATACGAGCTGCAGACCTGTTGAAGCATGCGAGGCCGGGGCCCGGACCTCAGCCCCGCGTGCTCACAAAGGCCGGATTCCGAGCCCTGACAGGCGGGAGGACCGTAACAGAGGGTATAAATGTTTTTTAATTTTTTTTAAACATTTTATGTATAAAATTTTTTTTTTTTAATCAGTGAAGATTAAAAATAAATAAACAGTGCCGGCTTTATCATGAAATCCTGTTTTCACTTTGACTTTATCAAATAATCAGTTAATTAAAGTTAACTCAGCTGAAAAATCATAAAAAGGCAAAATTATTGGATCTCTCAGGAATATTTCCCTCAAATATGTTTAAAGAAGATCTACGGCCTTTAGTTCAACGTTATTCTAACCCACAGATGTACAAATCACAAAACAAGAATTACACTTTAAATCAAAGCTAAAATAAAATAATCTGTATACAAGAAACAAAACCATACATCTAAATTGAACAATAAAAGTAGACACAATGAGTGCAAATACATCAAATGATGAAGAAAAATATATAATTTTATACATGTACATAGATATTTTTGTAGAATCCAGTTCATCAAATTTAATTTAGTTTCTATAGCACCAAGTCACAACAGAAGTCGTCTCAGGGAACCAAACAAAAATATTCATATATAAAACAAGTTAACAGGAACATTCATATTTAAAAATTACAATTTAACATTATTTATCTGAGGAGCAGACTGCTTTGAGTTGAACTCATTGCAGAACTCTCATTAGCAGGATTTTAGATTTTGGGCACGCTTCCAGAACCGATCCTGAAGTGCGGTGGAGATCCAATCTGATCTGATCAGGGCTGAGGAGGAGTGGTGGAAAAGTGGCATTACTGATCCTCTCTGTGGACCAGCTTGGACCTAGAGACAACTAACAAGTAATCATTGATCTAAGGCAGAGCTATTCAACTGGTGGCCCACGCAGACTGGTGACTTCAATCCCACTTCATAAAAAAATAAAAATAATTATAATTTGGGGGGGTTCTGGGTTTGGGTTTTGGGCTCTGAGTATTGCATTCATGATTCAATGCAATAAAATAAACACATTTAAAAGGCAACAGATCATTGTTGGTTTATTTACATAATGACTTTGGATGGATGTCCGGCCCCTGAGCTGCTGGCTTTCAGTAACTGTGGCCCCTGAGCAGTTTAGTTGAATAGCCCTGATGTAAGGGGTATGGAGGGACCAAAAGGCTGCAAGAGGTCAGACAGGTCCACAGGAGCTTGTCCATTCAGGGCCTCAGGTCATAAAAAGAATTTAAAAAACAAACTTGAAGACCATTCTAAAATGATCAGGAAGCCAATAAAGGGAAGCTGCACTGGGTAAAAATGTTCATACTTCTCTGTTTGTGTTAAAGACAAGCTGCAGTGATCTGAACCAGGCTGTAAGAGGCTGGCCGGCCTAACTCCAACATATAGAATGGCATAATATTCAAAAATCAAAACATTTCCAAAATAATGAACGAATACAGAAGTTTCTATTGTTTAAATGTTCACTTAAAGTCTAGCTTTTTTGATAAGGAGGAAGTTGCAGAGTTTCTGTATTATTCTCGGCTCTGACGAACGTTACAAAAATGCAGCAAACCTCTTCCTGCAATCTCTATTTTCTATTTTCTGCTTCTAGTCCCGTGCTGCAATCTATACCTCTAATGCAGAAAAAGCTCTGACAAGTTTAGAACAACAGTTCAAACATTCGCCCGTGATTCTCAATCATCCAGGATATGAAAAATTGATAAAAACAACAGAAATCCGTCAGTTTTTATTTGATTTTTTTTTTTTTTTTATTTAACAATTTCAACCTAACATCATTGAAAAGTTTAAGACAGCAATCTGACCTGTGTGCTTTAAGAGTTCTTCAAAGGAATCGCTCCAATGTAAGGCTGCCTCCACTGAGATGCTGCAAATGGGAAAGAATAAATGGAAAATCGAACATGCAGTGAGATTCTTCCTAATGATGCAGCTAACAGTGTTCAGGCTTTTAGAGAAAGGTCTGAATGTCAGGTCTCTGTGTGTGTTTAATGAGTAATAGAGTGTCCTGGAAACAGGTTAAAAAATAATCTTGCTTGTCTAAAATAATAGTAGCTCAATATGAACAATAATAGATTGTGCCTTACTTGCTTGATGTTGTATTTGTCGTTTTATGGGGGCTGACGTTTTCATGGGAGCCTGACTTGGTGAGAAAAAGGCCGAGTCGGCTTTTCCTCTCCTTGTTTTTCTGTCTGCAAACAAGAAAATATATCACCTTCTACCGTCTGATCTGCTGCTGTGGCACTATTTACCAAATCAGCAACTCATCGCAGACTTTTCCTCTTCTCAGACATTTTGTGGTGGCAGCACACAATAAATTACACATCTTTGTGTTCAAATTTGATTTGAAAAGCAAGTAATCCAACATGTTCTGACACATCTCTGCAAAAGTTTCACTGTTGATTTAAAAGAAAACTGCCTTTTTTTTTTTTTTGCTGCTTATATTCTTAAAACCTGTAGTTGTCAGATCTTTGACTCGAACTTTAAAAATGTATACATGTACATGCATACACGAATAAAGTCAATCAAATGAAAAAAATCAATCTTAAATATCAGATAAAATGTATGTTCTTGCACCAACCTGCTGCTATTTTCCTTCATCGCTGGTGTCTGCAAGTTCCCTACAGCAAACATTTTGAAATATGCTTCCTCCTTTGGGGCCATGTAGTTAAATTGAGGAAATAGAAAGAGAAGCGTCTCCATGCTGTCCTCTCAGTGTCTGGTGTGCAAAGCGGCAGGCCACAAATAGCGCTTCGAAAAGCTGTTTAACCCATGACTTGACAAACCACCTCATCTTTTATAAACCCTGCTCGCATTTCATTTCTCATACCTGCTCCACTTCCTGTAATGGTGTAACAGCTTCATCTGTGACACAGAAACCCCCTGTGAGTTTAACATCCTGTCAACAGTTTGCATAAAATTTGGGGGTAAAACAACGTGTCCATCTCATCTGCAGTGATGTTTTATTGTGGATCTCATGGTGGTATTTCTTGTTTTGGTTTGTGCTGACGCCTTTTTGTAAAATTTAGCAGAAAACAAAGTTGTACTTCAATGCTGTTTCAGTGCCTCCATCTATCTATCTATCTATCTGTCTGTCCACCCGTCCGTTCGTCCGTCTGTCATATCATCCAACATTTTTTAGTCAAGTCATCTGGACAGTGTCTTTTTTTTTTTTGTTGTGCTGAAACGTTTCGCCTTTGGTCCAGAAGGCTTCATCAGTAGAGAAAACACACAACAAAACTGATTCTTCCTCCAGCAGCTTACTCCAAAGTGGAACAAACCAGTTCTGCTTGTGATAAGATGGTCTCTTTGGTACGCCCCCTCCTCCATTGCCGGCCCTCTTCCTTGTTGTGTATATATATATATATAGATATATATCTATATATATCTATACATTTCCAGCTTTTACCAGCTTATTCCATTTTGGGTCACGGGGGTCGCTGGTGCCCATGTCCAGCAATCACTGTGCGAGGGGCGGGGTACACCCTGGACAGGTCACAAGTCCATCACAGGGACACATAGAGACACACGAGACAAACAACCATTCACTCTCTTACTCACACCTAGGGACAATTTAGACTTACCAATCAGCCTAACATGCATGTTTTTGGTCTGTGGGAGGAAACCGGAGTACCCGGAGAAAACCCACGCATGCACGGAGAGAACATGCAAACTCCACCCAG